GATGTGCAAATTTGTGCCTTGTGTCGAAATTCTTTTTGCAGGTGAATGAAGGCTAGAGACCCAGATAAGGTTCCTCTACGCAAGTGGTAGCTCGAAGCCGGGGAAGCACTTTTAAGAGAGGAAAGGGCAGAATCTTGGGCGTTCTCGGCTTCGGCTGTTCAGGTCGCCGAAATTTTGCGTCCTAACGCCCTCCATCAATGGTCCATCAACCAGTTTCCAGGCTTTCGTCGTTGAACCGAGAAAAGTTGCTTACTATTCTCCAAAGTCAGTCAGTGTCTGTCCGTCTGTCTGTCTGTCTGTACTGTCTGTCTCTGTCTGTCTCCGTTTGTGTCTGTCTGTGCTGTCCGTGTCTGTCCGTGTCTGTCCGTGTCTGTCCGTGTCTGTCCGTGTCTGTCCGTGTCTGTCCGTGTCTGTCTGTGTCTGCCTGTTTCTGTCTGTTTCTCTCCGCACTGTCTGTGTCTGTCCGTCTGTTCGTCTGTCTCTCTGTCGGTCTCCCCCTCTCCCTCTCTCTGTCTGTTCCTCTTTCCTTCTCTCTCTCTCAGGCAAGAGCTGGCAAAGAACCTCGAAGAGCACGAGCAGGAGCTTCCTGCAGTGTGAGTGAGTACCCCGGAAGTATTTGTATTCAGTTTAGGATTTAGGGTTTGGGGTTTAGGGTTTCGGGGTATTCATGAGTCCTTATTGACAGCTTTGTTGAGTGTTCTCTTCGGTGGCCTTGGTCCCCAACACGCTGCTACTACCAGCAGTTTTCGGAGGAGCTTTTGCATTCTGCATGCAAGAACGTTGAAACTGCAAGAACCTGCGAGCTCTAATGTACGGTTTATGATATAAATCCTGCATTACCCATAATAAGGAATATACCATATTTCCCATAGTCTGGGGTCGTTAAGGTAATGCAGGATTTATACCATCAACCGTAGTATAAAGCGGTATCGAAGAGTTATGTTGTAGTCAACCGGAGCTCTCTCTGGACTTCTCAACTCTTCAAGACCGCCAAACCCCAACGAATACTTTGACCTGCAAAGCTCACCATGTCACTATTCAGCTTTGCTGTGAAGCCAAAGCCTAAACCCTAAACCCTAAACCCTAAACCCAGCGATCGATGCTCGACAGCTCTTACTACTGTTCTGCAGACAAGCTGCATAATGGCTCCTACGACGAGGAGAAGCAGCGGGAGCAGCTGTAGGGGCGGAATCAGCAGAGTGCACAGTAGCTGTGCGTCTGCTTCTACAGTATCGGTGAATATGTCCGAAGGTCTGCAAACTGCAAACTGTACTATAGGGGCGGAAATAATTACAAACCAATACTATTTTGGTGGTTCCCCAATATTCATATAATGTAACGGGCCCCAAAACCCTAGTCTAATTATTACGGCCCCTGTAGTACCTGCAGATTTTGTTAGGAGCTGCGTGCTGAGCTGAAGCTCTCCTGAAGGCGCCTTTTCTTACCGTTTTTTTAGTAGGGAATGGTAGGGTTGCCTTTAAGGGGGTCTATAAGGGTTACTATAAGGGATCTATACTTACCTTTGGTTAGTAGCGAATGGAGGAATGGGGTACAAATATAGCTACTGTTACTACCATTCTTCCATTCCCTACTAACCAGCGATAAGTTTTGCTGGCTCTCTTGGCTTTTTGCTCAGTTCGAGTGCGCCTTCTCGTTGCCCGGAGTTTGGGGTTTACACTATTTTGGGGTCCTTATAATAAGGATCCTACTATTTAGGGTACTATATCAGGGTCCCAGGGTTTAGGGTTTAGGGCCAGCCAGCCCGGGGTAGGGCACTCATTTATGAGTTCTAAGCCGTGATCTGCCCGATACTGTAGGAAATGGTGGGCTTGATGGTTCCGGAAATCTTGCAGGGATGTCTTTGACCCCGGATTGACGCATGAGCTTCAGGATCTTGCTAAGAAGCAGAGACAGCAAAGGACAGATGCCGGCTGAGAGGCCGAATACCTAACCACAGAAAAGTTTTCGGGTTTAAATGGGTGGTTGTCAAAATTAGGGTCCCTTTTGGGGTCCTTACTATAATACGGCAAGTATTATTTAGGGTGCGCAAAAAGGGACCCTAATTTTGACAACCACCCATGTAGATTAGGGTCGTAGATGGAGCCCAATGGCAACAGCTGTTGCTGCTTGTAGCTGCACAGCACTGGTAGGAACCTGTCGCATTCCATCGTAGGGACGGTCGTCAGACATGGAGGAAAGATACGTCAAGCTCTCAAAATTCCGAAATCATCAGATCCTGCACCATGCGCGCTTTTACACGGAGCTGCTTGCACCCTAAAACCCCGAACAGACTAAATGAAAGACATAGACTCCCTCATCAAATGTGTGCTGCCCGCTTCTGCAGGCTCTCTCTTGCAAATCGAACTTGGGGGCTTCTGGCTGAAATGATTTTTTGGCATAATTTGCTAATGTTCTCATGCATGAGCTCTCCCTTCGGGCGCTTTCTAAGTACCCAGAGGGCAGTTGACTGCGAGTTCTTGAAAGACTGGCAATACCAATGCTTTGGAGATGATTCCCTGGGCTTGTTCCGAACGATGAGAAGAGGTACGAATCCTCACGAAGCCATTCAAGGATTCTGCACCCTTCTTGCATGTACTTACCAGCTGGGCATGACTCCCCATTGAAGCAACTTCTTCCTTAAGATCAGTGACTTCTCATCCCTGAGCCCTAAACCCTAAACACCCTAAACCCCAAACTCTAAAACCCCTACCCCCCCAAACCCAAACCCCTAAATGCTATACTCATGTTTTCGAGGGGGGGAATGCTCCGAGGTTCCACTAAGCAGCTATCTATAGATGCTCACGCACCTAATTCAGAGGCTTGACCGGGCCTCGCTAGCAGAGTCGCCAGCCGCATGCGATGGAGAAAATACAGCGTCTAAGTCCGAAGCCCTGAGCCGACTGACTCTAAACCCAAAAGACCCTAAACCCGAAACCGTACATCCCAAACCCGGTAGACTAACGACCCTAAAGACCGTAAAGTTGCTAATAATGTTGCCCTGAAGGCCCAAAACCCTAAACCCTGGCTTTGAAAAAGACACCTTTTTAGCAGCCTTCCTGGGTGCAGGTCACTGTGGATGAGTGATACGGTTGATGGTATAAATCCTGCATTACCTTAAGGACCCTGGACGATGGGAATTATGGTATATTCCTTAATATGGGTATTGCATGATTTATATCATCAACCGTCCGACTCGACTCTGCAGCTGTTTGGGCAGCAGAGACAGTATCAGACCCTGCCGGCATTGAGGTGTGGAAGCATCTTTCTTGGATATTGCTCTACTTGAAGCACCTACACCCTGAATAGACGCCAGAGGAAGCACTTGAATGAATGTAGTCAGTTGCAAGGGTTGTTGCGAAGATGTTGGATCGTTGCAGAGAGTCCTTCTCCCGCAGCAGCAGCCGAGTGTCAATGCCGTTGACATTGAAGCCATTTGACTCTTGGCTAAGCAGATAATGATCATGGAAATAGATTTTGCAAGCATTTCACCAGTAAGAATATCAGCGGTTGTCAAAATTGTGGTCCTGTGTGGGTCCCTATTATAATACGGCACCTATTATTTTAGGGTACCCCAAAAGGGACCCTAATTTTGACAGGTGGGTTGGTGCGGCCCTAGCTGCGTGTGTTTGTTGGATCTCGTGTTTCAGTGAAAGCCGGGAACAAGCTGTTCTTTTACAAGCAAAGTGTTTTATGCTTTGTGCAGGCATTGTCATAGTCACCTCCGTCATCTTCGAGATCGTAGCATTTTTTCCTTTTCGTTGTTTCATGTTAGCCCTTGCTGACATCAGTTTCCATGCTGAACGAAAAGGGTTCTGAGGGTTGACAGCAATGTTAGCACCCTGCTGCAAAGCAGTGCCGGTTCTCAGCATGAGTGACCACAAGATTTTTTGTGATCTCAGCACGCGTACGTCATCTCTTAACCTGTGTGCACGCATTACCCATGTGTGCTAGCTTGCTGGTGATGTCGTCGGAGATGTCCTTGACATTGACATTCATAATGTCACTTCTGCTTATATCATCTGTGATGCTGGGTGGATCAAAGCCGATAGTGCCTCATCACCCATTCTGCTGTCTATGTTCTTCAGTCACCCGGATGTCTGTTGCTTTTCAGGATTGTTGTGAATGCAGACTTTTGTGGTAGCTCGCTTCCACCTCGCCTGCAACCTAGCCGAGATTTCTAGTTTCAAAAATCTGAACCATCAAGCGAACCTTGCTCTGGAGGGTATGTATGGCCGTGGCAGACCATCCAGCGTTGAGGTCATCTGGGTCCGGGTCGATTCTGGCCTCATGCATACGGAGTTTCCGGAAATAGGGGACCCTAATATAGTACTCTAACTAGTAGGATCCTTAGAAAAGGACCCCCAAATGAGGTACCCCTAATATTCGGAAACTCCCATGCGTTCTGTTCTCACCGAGGAAGTTTCGCAAGAGGACTTCCTCAGCTTCGAGCTCACGCAATTCAAAGGAGCCGCTATCCATTGCAGCTGAGCGTTGATCTGGGGTTTCAAGTAGTTTTTGGCGCCCCATAACTTAGCGGACATAGCATGGTGAAGATGATGGACAAACCGGTAAAGCCAGGATGATTTGATGTGCCCCCACTAACAAAACAAGTGGCCACCCTTTCGCTTGGAATCAAGTTTTTGGAAGTCGCCAGCTTGTTGACCGGCCAGTTTCTTGCTGAGCTTTGCAGATTCAACCCTGAACATTTCAAGCTGAGGTGACCTACAAGCCAGGGGTTCCGGGATGGCTCCGAACTTCTTCTTGCGGCTTCGGGTGGCATCCATCCAAAAGCAGCAGGTGGCAACGGCTCTCGAGAGCTTATCAGTGAGGGCTGATCCCCTCAGATGCTGGCAGACTCACGATTGCGCAGATCAAGGACCTTCGGTTGAGGTTTCATGGCTGCTACGCCCAGTGATTGTGCTCAGCCGGCCTTATTTGGCGGCAAGGGTTTCAGCGTCCCTGCACAGGAGCGCCTGCGAGAGCGTGGCGAAGCGGAGCTGATGCGTGGCGTCACTCGGAAAGAAGACTTTGTTGCGCTGCTGCGATCATCTGATGAGCACCGCCGCCCGCCGCCAGAAGTCTTGGTGGCAGTTGCTTGATCGGCTGAGTGCCTTTGTTTGCGACTGAAGCGACATGTGTCGCATGGCGTGGTTCCTCTGTAGAACAAGGGGGTATTTTTAGGGACACAGCTGTCGTGCACACTTACTAAGTTTCAGCTTGTGGAAGTGCGCGCTCAGCGCAGCAGACTTGTGGGATGACGATTGGGGGTGCCTCACGGCCCCTCACGGGCAAAACAGCGATCTCGAGCAGTGTGTATGTTGGGGTTCTGAGTTCTGGGGCTGAGTGGGGTTTCATGTTGTCATCAACGGATTTGGATCCTTATGCGGCGGCTACGGCCGCGGTGGTTTCGGATTTGGTCGTTTCACAAATACGGCTGCATATGGCCCTCTAAATTTTCTGTCAAGTTTTTGGGCTGCGAGCATGAACCCCCAGCTGCAATTCACATGTTCGTGGGCTTGTATAGTTCAAGGTACGCAAAGACCATTGCCTGACTTCCAAATCCGAATGTCCATTCTGCCTGTTGATGTGGGTTTCTACGGCGCAACTCTCTTCATTAGCGTCGTGTCCGTCTATCGAAGGAAGTTCTGTACGCGTCGCGAAAGGCCATGGAGCAATGATATGTGGTTTGGCTCTATACGCCCCGCATCAGTTGTGTTGTGGTTTATGAATGAAACACCCCCGCAAGACCCAGATGATCCAGCTGTGACCATTTAAAGTTTATGTCTTGCATTTTCAGCAACGAACCGACGGCAAGGCAATGAACATTACCTGAACCTAAACGTTGGCAAGTGCCTAATCTAAGCGCCTAAGTTTGGAGGCTTAAGGATTTCGAGGCGGCTTAGAGGCTCCGAGTGGTGGTGCCAGACCTGGTAATAATCCTGATAATAGAGGCTTCGAGGCTTAGAGACTTGTAGGACAGCAAATCAAATCAGTCTCACTTTGACACTGCAATTTCGCTTGTTCGTTCATTCCAAGTTGGGTCCCGAAATCATTCTAGGTGCTCCTGTCTCTGCCTCCCATTTGTTGACCATGTTGTGCATGGGAAAATTTGCGTGACCGCTACGCTAACCAGAAAATCTTGTCCAAGTGGTTCTTGCTGGCCCGTTGGCACAAAAAGGGGGGATGTGTCATGGTTTCCAGGCGCCGAAAAGCACAACGGCCCACCTCGCTCCAGCTCGACTGATAAAAAATACCAGCTCGCACAACTCAACTCAGACTCGTCTCGCAACATTTCTGTGTGCAGAATTTTCTAGTTAGGTGGTGTGTATCCGCAGCACGGCATCCGCATGATTTGCGATGAATGAGGAGCACGGGTCGCCTCTTTACAGTGCATAATTGATTCATTTTGCGGGGACGCTGAGGCTGGCCAACGTGGCTTGGTGGTCAGAGACCTCTACGTGAACTCCGAAGGAGAAGAGCGGATTGGCGTTCAGTTTGAGGGAAGATCGACACTACATGTTTTCCCGCATCAGGTGGCCCTTTCTGATGCGAAGTTTACAGATGGAGAGAGCATCATGGGTGACGCATCGACGTACCGAGTCAAGTGCGGCACCATTTCCTTCGAGAATCTCTTGGGCTTGCGCTTTGGTAACGAGCAGGACGAGTTCCTCGTTACATCCAGTGGTCCGGTGCCGGCAACGCCTGGAGCAATCCTTGTTCCCTGGTGTGAGGCTTTCCCACAGTTCCATGGGGACGAGCAGAAATCGGTTCTGGCCAGGAATGTCGAGCAGCGACACTCGTACTTGGGTTTGTTCTGTTCGGTCACTCAGGGCAAGTCGGGTCTATTTGCGAGGAGGCATGTAGGACCTTGGTTGTGTTCACAAGCATTTGTCAATGTAGACTACATTTTGAGATATGATTTGCGATTTCACACACTTTCAGAACAGGTATGACTCAACTAGCTTGAACTGCAATTCTGGGATTCAAGCTGATAGAAGTTTCTCCACACCTCGGTGACCTGTTGAGCACTATCCCGAAACTGCCTTGGATGCGCAGCACGAAAGAATTTCAGCGGAATGTGCAATCCTGCAATCGTACCTCGAGACAGGGCGCTCTGTAGTGTTCAGTTCATGGGACAGTTGCAAATTTAGAATGGATTCAACATGAATGATCCTGACAAAAGTTGTTTTTGGTAAAGAAGAAACCATGCAACTCCTCAATCAAAGGACGTCGTGCCAGCTAGGATTTAAGCTCTTTCGTCTAAGGATGCCGAGTCGTTGCCAAACTTCAGCTTGAATTTCACAGCAAGTCTGCTTCCCTGGAGACGCCTGAGCCCAAGCAGAAGCGGGCAAGAGGTAATTAAGGGGTAACTAGGAAGTAGTATTTTACTTGTTTGTTCATTGTGGGGTATCCACATATGACAACGTAAAATCGTTGATGTCGATCGACATGGCCTGATGGCCTCGTGGCAAAGTCTGCGAAGAAACACGCTGGGGAAAGCGTGTGACGCGTGCAACCTGTGTGCGAAGAGCAAAGAAAACGGCTTCGGAGGTTGGCTACGTTGGGTGTTCCTTATTGTAAGTATACTAAAGTGGGCCCCAAAACCTTACTGTAATTATGAAGGCGCTCCAGGGTTCTGGTCTGCACTTCTCCAAGTCTGTTCGTCAATAGGGGCTTATGGAAGGGGGTCGCAATCTGAAGAAGAGTATGTCCGACGAAAAGACACTCGATTTCGTTTGCTACTGCAGGCCAGTGCTTCCGGGAGCATGTCAGAGATGAGTTGAATGTAGTGAATGTGCATCCCGCGACAGACGAGCTATTTACGCTTCTGCGGCCATGTGTCAGAAGCTTCCATGGCTCAGCCAGATGTACTCACACCATGCTGCCCGAACCTTGGATTGCAGACCCCCCTGTGCAAATGCCCGTTTCGCCCCCATAGTCAAGGCTCCGCAATGAATCCCTTATATAGACCCTCCTCCACAAACCTCAACTCAAAATCGAATCCCCGCATAGCCTTGCTATGATAGACCCCGGAACCTGCCAATGATTAAGGCCCTGCGAGCTCGCAGAGACTGTTTTAGAGTTCTTCTTTAGAGGATCCATAATTTTTCAGCCCAATCCTGTATGGGTAACCCTCACACGAGCCCTTATACAGAAAGCTTTACGCGCCTTGAAGGGAGAGCCCTTGAAGGAAGCCCTTATGGGAGCCCTAGCCCTAGCCCCGAAATCCGAAAGCAGCTTGTCTTGGGTTCGCGGTTTACGGGGGAGCCGCCGCTCCCTTGCTCGGACATGGTCTGGGCCTCAGCCACCTTGGAGGATAGCCTACTTGGACGTTCAGAGGTAGCTATAAGGGTTCCTTTCAGGGTCCCTTCAAAGGGATTTGCAGGGATTCTATAAGGGTATATAGGGTTTTGGGCCTGCTTGGAGGTTCAGGGGTAGTTATAAGTGGGGGTTCTAAGTCCCCTAATATGGGTTATAAGTATAGTTACCCTACTGATAACCCTATTTACATACTTTTAACTACCCATGAACCTCCAAGTAGCTCGAAATTTTGTAGAGGTTTCGGCAAGGCTTTGCAGGGAGTGTATCAGGGGGGGTTCAGGGTTTGAAAAGCATTTTTCGAAATTCCTAGGGGTGTGAGGATTGTAACTCTTTCAACTTGGGTCTTGCGTTCCAGCTGGAGTTTCCCGAGCGAATGTGAGGGAAACACCAACATCAAAATGCACAAGGACCGCCTAGATCAAAGACTTTGGTTGTCGAGCCCTGAAACCCTGCAACCCTAAAACCCTAAAACCCTAAAACCCCTAAACCCTAAAACCCCTAAACCCTAAAAACCCCTAAACCCTAAAACCCTTAAACCTTAAAACCCCTAAACCCTAAAACCCTTAAATGTACGATCCCAAAACCCCTAAACCCCTAAACCCTAAAACCCCTGAACCCTAAAACCCTTAAACGTACAACCCCAACACCCCTAAACCCCGAAACCCTAAAACCCCTGAGCCCTAAAACCCCTAAGCCCTACACCCTAAACCCCCTAAACCCTAAACCGTAAAGCCCCTAAGCCCCTATACCCTAAACCCGAAAGCCCCTAAGCCCCCAAGCCCTAAAACCCTGAACCCTAAAACCCCTAAACCCTACACCCTAAACCTCCTAAACCCTAAAGCCCCTATGCCCCGACACTCCAAACCCGAAAACCCCTAAGCCCCCAAACCCTAAAACCCTTAAACCCTACACCCTAAACCCCCTAAAGCCTAAACCCTAAAGCCCCTAAGCCCCGATACCCCAAACCCAAAAACCCCTAAGCCCCCAAACCCTAAACACATCTCAACATAAACCCTTAAACCCTTTATAGAACCCTTGTAGATCCCTTTAAGGAACCCTGAAAGCAGACCTTTAAGGAACTCTGAAAGCAGACCTTTAAGGAACCCTTAAAGGATCCCTTTAAGGAACCCTTAAAGGGATCAACACCGTCTGCCAGCGAGGCGAAGGCCGACGACCTGAACACCGACTGGCAGCGCTCGGCCCGCGCCTGATCCGGGGTACTCAGGGATTCAAGGTTTAGGGTTTTTTAGGTTTTTTTAGGGGTTTTATGGGTTTTAGGGGTTTTGGGGTTTTATATGGGGGGTTTTAGGGGTTTAGGGTTAAGGGTTTATCTTTTCAGAAGTCACGTTGGGGTTCACAATGTAGTGTACTACGAGAGAATATACTGGAATGTTTTATGACATAGTATAAAAGAGAGTATCCTACGACATAGCAGAAGATAATGTAAGATGAGATGTTATAAAACAAGGTGTGTAGCGTTTCGACATTGGGTTTGAGGTGCCAACCAGGAAGCCTTCGATGTAGGCTTGGCTGGGTCTGGGGAGTTTTGGCTTGGGGCCTGTACTATGAGGGCCAAATTGTTACCTAAACTATTTCGGGCGATCCTTACTATAAGATATAGTATAGTATCTCCCCAAAACACTATTCTAATTATCAAGGGCCCTATAGCAGCTGGGGCTTTGCAAGTTTTGGCCTCGGACCTGCAATGTTGTTCTAATACAGCCCTTTCGGTACGTGAACCATCTTCTGGGCTTTGGAGTACCATACTTTAATACTGTCTTTGGGGACGTTTTACTGAAAGGGGACTATTATGAACTAAAAGTCTATACGTTTTTCTCCCTCGTTACTTCAAAGCCCAGCCGTCTGCTTTCTCTTATCATTCTCTATCGGTTGCACGTCATGCTTGTAGGCTGTGAAGTCGTGACTCTTCTTCTGCCACGAGAGCAGACAGGAGCCCGGTCCTGCCTAAACTAGGGCCTAAACCCTAAACCCCACACCCCTAAGCCCTGTAGTAAAACCTCAAAGAGATCGACGTCCCCGACCCTGAGCCCTGAAATTTCACTCCTTGGTGGCTCCAGGCCGGTGACTTTTCCTGCTCCGTCTGCCGAAGGAAGCGGCTCACTGCACAGGACTTCTCCAAGAAACAGGTGGTGTTAATCAAAACGATCTGCTATTCTTAGTACTGCTTGTTGTTATTATTGTGACTGCTATTAGTATTACTGTTATTCTTGGTGTTACTTGTGACTATGTTCTCATGCGTTACTGATCTCAGTGGTACAGATTTGGGCATCAGTACGTTTGTTGCTGCTCTTCTTTATGTTGTTGTCCTCACTCCTACTATCACAAGCAGTGTGTTGTCGTCTGTCCTTTTCCAAGTTGCGAGCCGCTGGAGGGTCGTCGCTCCGGACGGAGCCGGCAAATGCCGAAGCCGTTGAAGTCTGTGCGGGCTAGAGCGAACACTTCGCGCTCGAAACCGCTAAGTTGAAGATGGGACTTGCGGAAACTACTGTAAGGTCCCCTATCTGGACGGCCAGAATCCTTGTATAATATAAGGTCTCCAATCAGGGATCTCCAATTTGAAGAGACTGGCAGGTGGACAAAGCGCTCGAATCCTTGCAGTCCATTCCCGACAAGGTGCCGACTTCTCCGTCGGTAGATTGTGCAAAAGCAAAGGTTTAGGGTTTAGGGTTGGAGTATGCCTTGGAGTTTGCTTCGGAACTGGGCAGGACTCAGATCAAGTGGGTGGTTTTCAAAATTAGGGTCCCTTTGGATCCTTAATATAATACGGCACTTAATATTTAGGGTACCCAAAAAGGTACCATAATTTTGACAACCACCCACATCAAGTGTTCTGCAGGAGCCGGCATTCTATTCTACTTCTGTTGCAACGCACGAAAGTGTAAGGTGCTTGAAAGGTTCTGGGAATTTGCCGGGGAGAGTCGAACCAGCTTCGAATGCTTAAACTGCAAAGAATCACCTTTTTCATATCAGGCCTTAAGTAAGACCTAATCTTAATTAGCCACAGAAACCGTCCTACCTTAAAGCCTAAACTTAAAGGATCATGAGACTTAGAAACTGGGACTAGTATCAGGGTAACCATACCTGTAACTACTTACAACCCAATTAAGGTACTTATAACCATACTTACTAAGTCCCATGATCCTTCCAGTAAAGTGAGGGGTATGGGCTTCTCAGACCTCTAAATCCAAAACCGCAAGCCCTAAACCCCAAACTCTAAATCCTAAGCCCCAAGCCCTAAGCCCAGAAAAGGCCGCTGCACTTAAAAAAAAACAAGCCCCAAAGCCAGGACATCCGGAATGGACAGGAGATCAAAACCGTCCTCTTCATCACTGCAGTGCTGGGCCGAGATGTGTGTGACTTCAGGCCAGCGGGATCCTTCTTTAAGGTTTAGGGCTTAGGGTTCAGGGCTTTAGGGTTTAGGGCTTTAGGGTTTGGGGGTTTGGGGGTTTGGGGTTTAGGGGTTTAGGGTTTAGGGGTTTGGGGTTTAGGGTTCAGGGTTTCAGGGCTTTAGGGTTTAGGGTTTTAGGGTTTAGGGTTTCATCATGATCGCCCTTCTCGCCAGCAGCAGTAGCAGCACCACCAACATGCCATCACCGCCACCATCATGATCATCACCATCAACACCATCATCGCAATGTTCATTACCATCAGCGTCTCAATTGCCCTCAGCATCGGAAGTGCATTTAACCTGAAATGTGGTCCCGGGCCACAGAAAGAAGCCCAGATGGAGGTGCTCGTGTGGCCCAGGAGTTGAAACTAACGGCCTAACGGCCGGGGCTCCATTGCACGTTTCTGGGAGTTTTTGACAATACGGGATCCTAAATGGCCCAATCTATTAAAATTATTGCTTTTACTGTTACTGCTACTTTCCGACAATAAGGGATCCTAAATGGCCCAATCAACTGGAATTCTTGCTTTTGCTGTTACTGCTACTATTACTTGGAGGTTCAGGGTTATAAGTTCCCTAATATGGGTTATAAGTATAGTTACCCTACGTATAACCCTACTTATAACTACCCA